GGCTAGCCAGAAGTATAGACTCAACGAGTTTGTTGTTGGTAAACACTCTTCTGATAGCTTGTTATGCCTAGCAGCATCTGGTCGTCCTTTCTTACGGTAAAGGGTCATAAAATACAGTATAGTAATCGGGAAACAAAGTACAATCGAAATCTTAATTATTCATAAACTTCATCGTTCTTTTCCAACCGTCCAGGAAAAGAAGAAATAGAATGTGTTAGTGGATGTCGAAATACACTAGTACTTGCGTAAACACACATAGCGAGCGGAAAAAAATTAATTAATACACCTGCGACAGCGTAAAAGAGGTTTTTTAAAATGTTCGTTTTGTTTTCGGGGGATTTATTTACAACTACAGTATCGAATGAAAGTGTGAATCATTGTGAGATGAAAACTTCGAATAAATGAAATCCTTATCAGATTTCCTATGTTATTTTACCAGATAAGGGTTGTCCTAATGATTCACATATTTTTTTTTAGAAAAATATGTTGAATGAGTCAAACCATGATCGAAAATCTAATGCGAGTTTGGTGGATGCTGATTTTTCTAATGATCCATTGTTCGCCAATAAGATTGCCAATAAATTTAGAGAAAATAATCCAGTGGAATCAAACTCTGATGACCTTATATCATATGTTGTTTATCCTGACAACGGAGTCACTTCTAGTAGATCCTCCAGTCAATGTGAGAAATTTGTTTTAAATAAATTCACACCATTTGTAACCTGAGTATATGAAGATGCAACATTATTTCGTGGAGAAGGATGGAATCAGAATTTTAAGGTTATCTACATATTTTTTTAGTCAGGATTTAAGGTTCGGATTGTCAGAAAGGAAGTGTTACATCCCAACGAAGGACTAATGAATGGTAATCGCTAAGAATCATTTACGGATTATTATTACATATTATTAAATTCAAACTACATTTGAGTGAAGAATAACTCTGTGGAATAAATGTATTAACGCGTGACCCAATCGAAATCAGAACAAGGTGATTGGGGTAACAACGGTTCTAAAATTCACCATAAATACAAATGTACAATTTTACCTAAACAAATATTGCCACACAGTTATTCAACCAACAATTGATCCCACAATAATCGATCTAAATTACAACAAATAGACAATTGCTAAGAAATATAAGAGAATTACCGAACACACCAAAAAATGAGTGTTATTCTATCCTTTCTGGATAGATCAAATAACCGTTCGTTGCTTTATAACACAAAGTGTTTCCAATTCTGAGAAAGTGCTCCAAATCACAATCAAAATGCACGATCCCAGTCAAATCAAGCAACACGATCAAAGAAGGAACACTAAATATGGCAGCCGCCAGGATAAAATATCAATTAAAACAACATAGATACAGTTCAAGAAGAAACAGAAATCCAGCGAAAGCAACAGTAAAACTGGGAAAACTATTATGAAATGAAACATTACAAACTCAAATGGCATCAAAAAGATTAAGAATATGTACAAATATAAAAAACAATTAAGAAGAAGTTGCAAATGTATACATGGAGGGATTTTCACATACGAAACCTTCAAAATGGATTTTACATATATATTCCTCTTGGATAATTAATAAATAGCTATATTACATATATATTTATGTTCCTTGTAGCTGTAAATAAATCCCCAAAATCAATAGCTTTTCAAGTGTTCGACATTGGAGGCTTACCACATTAGTTTTAATGGACTTGTTTAGCTGAAGGCGTTCGGTCATGCTTCCGCACCAGATCACGTTACATCACAGCATGGGAAACATCTCCTACAATCATTAGCCAGATTGGATCAATCACTTCTCGATATATTGATAACGCATCAAATATATCATCCAACCTCCTCGCTTCTGACTTTTGATTTCACCGGGTGGGCGTGATTCGATTATAGGTGTTACTAATAAAGAGTTGCAAAACTACAATACTGGTGGTATCTTCATACTTTTATTATAAACTTCCATTCGACCTTTTGACTACTATTATACAATTTACAAATCTTAAGTTATTCTTATTTCATTACTTACGGTCTCTCACACTCACATCCACGTTTGGCTTGATCTTCCATTTTAAGGTATGACGCGGTCTGGTTTGCCTGTATATAAACCGCGTATGTCTGAAGTACATGATTCATACAATGGAAGCTGATATTGTGTTCTGGACTGAAATGGACAGGGCTAGGCGAGAACCAATAGAGAGTTGGTGTTGACTCGAGGCTGCTCGTACTGGTTAACGCGTCGTTGCTTTGGCACACTGTCAAGATAACATAAGTCGGTGTTCTAATTGATGATCTTTTAGCGTGATAATTAACAGGGCAAAAGTCATAACAGATGACATTAATGTCAAAATGGAAAACGATTCGAACAACAAACTATTAAAGATGTCGCAAAAACTCATGGATTGACAGTGCTTTAGTCAGTAACACCTTTGTAATCGAAGGATATCAAACCAAATCAACTCAGAAGTCAGGGAAGAATGAGATCGAAAATGCATTTGGAAAGTTGCCGATATGTTTAAAAGCGTTTGATTAAGGCTGGTCAGTAGTTGCGATGAATTCGTAGCACGGTGTGCCAACTCGGGATCTGGTATGGTTGCATTACCAAGCGCTTTCAGCTAGGATATGTCCAGGAAAGTAGCGAAATCCCCAGAACTCAAAAATAAACTATGTGCTAACTTCATTGAAACGAGCGAAGACACGCTACTGCATACACAAAGCATGGAAAAATGAAAATATTTTGTGACTATCTTTTAAAAGAACAGATACTCACGCAGTCCCATCCAAAAATATCAATCCAACTAGTTAGCGAAAACAAAGTTAGATATGAAAATCAAAAAACGGATAATCTTTCCATATATAAAAGCCATCAGAAATTACAAAAATTTTGAGGCCTTTTGGGACAGTTGTCGCATATAAACTATAAAAACCACTTTAGTCAGTCTTGTGCAAACCAAGGGATGAAATGACGGGAAGAAAAAATCAAGCATCGACGAAATAAACTGTCCCAACTGCGAGAAACGCTATATCAAACAAGCTGAATGGAATGAATAATAAGAACACCAGAGGATATTTAGAAGTTTGGCGCTCAAGTCGATCCGCAACCAATAACCACATTGAAGTTATCCAATTTGTCAACAAATCAGAAGAATTATAGACAAATAGAAAATTGAGAATCGGGTCAACGCAGGTAGCAGTCACAGTAAATATGCAGACAACAAGTTAAAGGTTAGCAATAGCCAATCTAGGTCGACAAGACATCAGTGATACGTAGAGAAATCTAGATACCTCACTTCTATCACAAGTTTGTGGATCTTTCTAAGAAATACAAAGCTTCACAACTAAACCATGAAGCTCACAGGAAGAAGCCACCAACGAACAACTTTTTTGTGTATGTAATTTATTTCTTCGCTGTTATGTAGTATGCATATACATATATGCGTGTCAAAAGCAAGAAGCCAAAAAAGACTCTTTGATATATATATATATATATTACGGAAGAACCAAGGAAACGTTTTCGTTAGTAGCTTTTCCTCACCGTTCCATGGTATATATACCCATATATATTCTTTGGTAGTTTGATTGTTCATGTAAGAACTCGAGTATTTAACACGTATTTACATTCTCTTTTCTTCTCCAGGACGACCGGAAAAGATGAAGCACCATAGACAAATACAACGAACAGGACGTTTTGCTTTGTACATTTTTCGTTATGCAGCACTGAAGACCAATTCTGTCTTAATTTAAGCTCCCTGATAATCCACATCCATGACTTCACATACAGAACTGAGACAATGTGCTTCAGATTTTGTGGTGAACACAGTACTACACGACTATCTTTTCGAAATTTATTCATTTCGCAACGTAACATTACCATTTACACAAACATGTTCGGTAATAAAAATTAAGTAAGTGTTAGTCTTCAAGGTTTATCTTTTAGTAAGTATGAACTTATGAGATGCTGATAACTTTATGACAGATTAAGTTTCTAAGTATAAACCGCTTTTTATTTGTTTTATTAAACATGACTGTCTTTAGTAACTGGTGATAAACATAAGATGCAGATTACGAAAGCAATGAATTCACACCAAGTAAGGGACATAAGAGTAAAGCTAGAAAATCCACATACCGGATAGAAACTAAACATGGTAGGGTATAAAGCGATTAGTTAGTGATATGTAAAGACCCATTACCCTATTTATTGACTGTGCTTCCGAAATTCAATGCCATATATTACTAAGACAAGTATTATTTACTGAAAGATGTCGATTTTATTGATCAACGTTTGTCTTTAAGTACCCTTTCAATATGAAGGCTTTCAGTCACCAGTTTGACTGGAGTGAACACACTTCATAGATTTATTTGCAGTTATAAGTAAATAAACTATTTCTTCAATTACTTTATTAGGCTACAATATAAATCACTCGAAAAAAATGTTGTTTGATATTTAGAATCTGCCTCAATTTACATTGAAGACAATCTAATCTTTGTTATAGCCAACTGAATCCTATGTGCAGACGTAAAGTGAGACAGTTTGTGAGTAAAAACCTCTTTCATCAACTTGAATGATTAGGATCGAATGTTGATAACTGACAAAAGATTCGCCAAGTAACTCAACAAGAAAGATTCTCTGAAAATAAACGGAATCAAGTCATAACTAAAGACGATACCATAACTATCCATGTATGCATCACCTTGTTGGTTCAACTGTTATTTTATGGAGAAATCATATACAAACACACAGATCCAGGTTAATGGCACTTAATCTACTACTCTTTTAAGACTGGCGACTGTAAAACCAATTCAAACAGAGTAGGCACAAGACTTTACTAAAATAACAATAATTGGATGAGGTTCAAGATTTTATATCTACTTGCAAATATCATTTGTTATAGAGTAACCGGATTCAAGCCCTGAATAGGATATAATTAAATATTAAGACGAAAAACGACGCTTGATATTTGAGAACTGGACTTAACGAACTATTTAAAGAAAAACAAATAAGATATGATTTAAGAAAATATTAGATATTGTATAACAGATCTAAATTTGTTTATGAAAATTGTCTCAATAATGAGATATTTAGGCATCGGTTTTTATCGAACTGCAATAAACAGGTGAGTTGGTATCCGGTGTGGTAATATTCAAACATTCCTTGACAGAATTCGAGAGCATGCCAATATCATTAGTTTTATCCTCTTTATCAGAATAAGTACTTTCAATGCTGGGTCCTGAAAAGGAATGATGGAAATATTCTAGGAGGATCAGGATCCAAAAAACATTTAAAAAGTATGGTTCCCTATTCTTTGCTTAATAAAAACTAAATATAACAGTAATTTTCACCTACATTGAATAAAAAGATTCCTAATTATACGAGAGCGTAATCAATTAAGAACACAAAATAAGAATTTATAACACAATTTACATCTGATATATAGCATATAGAAGATAGTACAAATTACGCTGCAGACACTTTATCAATGACAAGCATTACTCGTTTAACTGCAACTGATATAAATTACACTGATATTTCAGGGCTGCAGAAAACTAATACCGAAACGAACGAACTTTGCGAATCTAGTAAGACGGAATTGAAGCTAAAGAATATCTGTTTGTATACCATGGAATGCGACACCTCATTTTTGAGAAATCTCATGGTATAACTCCTCCAGGTGCAAAAAACTTATCAAAGACATCCGTTTGCCCAAATATAAGTGGCGACTAACAGATATGGACGAAATCATACATGCAATGTCAGAAGTCGAAGGTCCAACAACATGTAGTAGTATCGACTGTAGGAAGATTTTCTGCATTAGACTGAAGTCCGAGCATATAAATATCGATATTTTCGGAAACTTACCACCTAATAATTTAACTCATATACTATACTGTATTGACTGATTCACCAGATGGGTAAGAGCTACCCAGTTGTAAAACAATGCTCCTGAAACGGCGGCAAAATTTGTGAAACATTAGTCTGCTAATTTTGAAGTTCCAGAAAGGATTATTACAGACTAAGGTGCACAATTTGGAAGTCGTCTGTTTTGAGAACTAACAGAGTCCTTGTATGTTCAGAGGATACGGATCACGCAACATTCACCACTTCTATGTTTTCTGTTGACTCCATTTGATATTGATGAGGAACGATGAAATATAATTCCTTAATTAACTTTATGTACGTACATAAACTTCGTATTAGTGAATCAAAGAATAAAACAATACGAGAGTGGTTTTGGATAAATGTGTTTTGTACATCCACTGATACAGATAGACAAGAAGAAACAAGAAAGACAAATGTGACCATTTTATTCAGTCAAACGTGTCTCAACATTTACAGGGATTAAAGATACATCTAAGTATATGAACACACATACTCCCACATATACATGTTCAAGATCATATATAAAAATGGTATAACGACTGGAGGGACTAAAGTAATTCGTCTGTTCAAAGGTTAGAACAAACCATACAGGCGCATGACAGTGAAGCTCACGACAAGCTGAATGACTCCATATGGCAATATCAGCGTACAATTATTGTTTTATTAGTGACTAACTGATCTTTACACTCCCAATTAACATATATATACCTGAATTATAATTTTTTGGACATCTTGATGATGCTATGAATAAGCCAATGGCTAACATTCAGATAGATATTTTTCTTCGTATAATCAGTAGTCTTACTGAATTGGTAACAGTTCTTACTATAGACCGATATAAGCCGGAAGACAACTTTCATAAATATGCTTTACATAGTTCCGACTGTCCTCAGAGAGTGAAAACAAAGAGATCTGGATATCTCCAAACCTAGTGTCGGTTACTGTTTTTCAACTTAATACAGCTTTTGATTAAAGAATTTAACAGTAATAGATGTGGCGAGAGCAAGTAGTATGACTGAAAGTAAAATAATTCTGTTTGTTATCCAAAACTTCTGTAGATTTTCCTACATTCTTAAGCGTAATTTAATTAAGAATTTCTTGAGAGTTAACGGTTGTTCTAGGCCAGCAGCTATGACAAAAAGAATATATATACTATTTTGTCATACAAATACTACGAAATGGAGAATTTTTTACGAATGCTAACGAAATAACTGGGTGTGTAGTGATCATTTTAAATTGACTTACAAAAGTGCTTGCTATAACAATATTAAGGTATTTAGGCATTTTTGCTGAATGACATTATTGGGTATGCAAAATGTTTAAGGTTAGGTTTCTGATGTTTTCTTATAGATTTAATAGATCATAGAACAAGTAGTTCCTACTAAACACGTAAATTAATATTCTTATATGATAAGGTCATTTTTATTATAATACGCCATTTTAAGCATATTTTGCGATAATTTAGGCATATATTATAAGTGTTTAATTACAAACTAGGTTGATGAGCTGTATTAACTGTATTAGATTAGAACTTTTTGAAGTCTCAAAAGTGATCTATAAAGCTACATAGTTTTAGTTCTGAGGTTCTTATAATAAAGAAATATATACGGACACTTCTGTGGAGTCAAAATATCAATGACTAGGTTAGTTAGATTATGTATTATTATTGTAGAAACTAACGTGTCACAAAGCAAAGAAAAATTTAGGACATATACTTCTCAACTAGCTTCCGAAGTCTATTGATCCTACTTTACTATTCTGCTTACGTTGTTCAATTACAATGCAGATTGTTCCAGACCAACTTCGATGAATGGCGCTTTAATGATTCCCTAAGTCCTTAGCTAGTTCTTCCCTAAACATCTTAACATTTTTGCCATAGACAAGAGCTTTTACAGATATTTGAGGCTCAGACAAATATGTGATTTCAGAAAGGAGACAGCATTCCGTTGATGATCTACAGCTAGGGCTAATATGGATATGGTTTGCTCCATCGTAGTAGTTATATCGGGAGTCAACAAACCAAATAATGATTTTTCACGCTTGAAGTCCATGTTTGTCAAAAATAAATTTGAGCGCAGAATTTGTCCGCTACCATTGCTACATTTCAGTTTCTGATCAAATTCATTTTTGACTTTATCCAGGTTGTTGTTAGTGGGAGAGTATCAAAAGACAATGAGAAACAATAGTTTTCCCTACAACTTCTTAATGTTCCATCAAAACAGACAGCCCACAAATGATTGGAATGAAATACAGAAGTGCTTGATCTGATGAGGCAAAAATAGTAGAATAAAAAACAGTAACAAACGACGCTCAGTGAATAAAGCGGCCACGATTACAGTGCTAAATGTCAGTTAGTAATATCCTTATCAGGATGCATGAAACCGAGACTGGAAAATCGCAATAAAAAGCACACGTCACGAATATCTCTGCTAACCATCAGAAAACACTAGACACATCAACAACACAAAATTTGTATGCAACTGAAACAGTACATACTTTCTTATTGAAGATATATATATATATATATATATATATATATATATATATATATATATATATATAAGCATAGTTTATGTAATAACTTACTATTGTCACTCAACTTTTCGTCAGTTGCTTGACAACCTTCCTCGAAAACCTTTCGAAATTCTTCCGCATCTTAATAATCAAAACAAAATTAAGATAACACAAAGCCGCGCGATGATCATGTATTTAACAAAATCCAAGAGAAGCAACATCTTATAAAAGCACTTTCACAAAACATTATTACCTACGAATAACAAGCAAAACATTTCTAAAAACTTATCCAAATTATCTAACGCCTCATTACAAACAACCACCAAATAATAAGCTGAAGCTCAAAAAAGTAGTTTGAATAAAAAAACATTTGATAAGTGAACGATTAATCTCAATACCTGACAACAAAAACGATGACACAAAACAAAATAGGATAACCATTAAATAAGTGCTAAGCGATGATTAATACTGAAGTGACAAATGAAATACATACGGGCACAGGACCTAGCACATCGAAATTACAGAATGGATTGATCCGAGATCTTGAATAGGTCACCGCAGATATAATCGGTCGGTTGACAAAGGTTTCATGGGCACAAATAACTCGAATAACTGTCAGTCTACATCATCTGTGATGTTCAGAGGTGTCTACTTCTCTAGATAATCCCAGGCATGCAGTCAAGAACTAAAGTCATACTGTAAGCTGACCATTCAGTCAGTAGTGTGCAACGGTTTAATTTGTCACATTACATAAACTGACGATTGCTGAAGGTCGATGACACTACAATACCACAAGTTTTGGAAGATAAGTCCAACCTAGACTATATCGTCTACCTTTCATATCTATTGCCTTAATATAGAATTCAATCACCTACTTATTTCCTTGTTTACAAGTTTTATACCAGTATCAAATATGTTTAAAAAGTGGTGACATGTGGAGCAAATAAACACATGGTTTGGATGAGGCAAATTTCTTCGAAGAGCATTGGAATAACGTGGTGGATAAATCCTAAATGGCCGATAAATGTACGACCAAACTGCGTCTAAGACCAGGCCAATAAGTGGAACGGTAGCTTCGTGGTTATGAAGCTTGAATTTTTACCAGTAGGCACCGGTTTCGAAGCCTGGAACAACTACTTCGGTTAACCAGATAGTATCGACGACCTTAACAGTGTGGCCTGGCGCAGGAAATCTAAGCCTTCAGATGAGCTACAAAACAAAGCCAATAGGCACAATCTTATGGAATATCTTTCTACATAACCTTTCGGTGATTCACCTCCGATCTGGGCATGCTATAAACATAAATATTCAACCTAACTCCATATATTACTTGAGCTAACCCCGTTTGTGGCGGCGGTAATAAGAGGCCAAATACGGGTTGCGTAGGATGAACTTATTTCAAGCACTCGTTTATCTAGACATATTCAGAATGAAAAGCGTGAAGGAGAAAGAGTCGACTCATTTGTCTTTGCAAAAATCACAGTGGTTCTGGAATCTATCGCTATTATGGTGAAACTATACGAAATACCACTGATACCGTCTCCCAATACTCAAAATGAGATTGAAGAATTTCTCTAAATACATCACGTTGCAAGTTTTGAACGAAACCTCATCAGGTAGTGTGTCTTAAATGATCACATTTCTATCCATCTGAACTATCTAGTTATTTATACAACAAGTGAAGTTCCAGGGAGAGAGAGGAAACGCCAGCTGACAATATTAAAAGACCAGCCACTGGATTGGATGGCATGGACATTTTTTTACCAAGAAATTAGTGTAGTATGTTAGGGAAAAGCTATCATAAGGCTATGACGCAACACAAGTATGTGGCCACTGACCTGGTCTAGACGAAGAGAGCTTCTTGACCGGAACTCTACGTGGCAGACCGGGATCGGAAAGAATCAGAACCGATTGTGACGGAGAGCACGTACTACTTGCTAAATACTCCGAATCAACCTCATACAGACAGCTAACGTTTCTGTTTGTTGGTACTGTTTTCGCATGTTGTTGAGTAATACAATAGGAATATATGAATCTCACTTCATTTATGTTACATATTGAAGGGTTATTTCCTTCGAAACCTGCAGATCGAATCAAGCTGGGAGTGTGATACTTTCATTTCTAGTCTACTTTTATCTAGACAGCTATCCCACAACAGACATTTTTGATTCCTGTGATTCCAATTTGCACCAGTGCTTTTAAAAAAATGAAATCATAAATGGTACCATGGTGATACTTCTCTGGTGTCCTGAGAAGCTAAAATGGCATTTAAATGCCATTGAATTGCAGTAATTAACGTAATTAAATATCTTGAAAAACGTCAGAAATTCACCGAAGTAATATTGAATACATACACGTAGAGTTAGCAAATCTAACACCTAATAATTCTGGTTTTACCACTTCGTCTGCGAAATCAGCTGTCGTACTCCAAACAAAAGCTCTACTGCTGCTACAGTTGGGACGTAAGTACATATTTTTAAGGAGATAATGGTTGGCGCAGACCTAAATTGCTGTAAAGTAACGTGTATAAGAACCTTGTACGTGCGATCTCGACGCATCAATAAGCGATAGCATCCACTGGTCCTGTTACGTAGAATTTTCAGAACTCCAACCCCACGCTCCTTCCATTCTGGGGGGTCGTCAATAGTGTCGAAACGAAACAGCTGTGCTCTCCTGAAAGATCAAGTGATCTCATTTAAATAGAAAAGTACTGCTTGAATAAGCACTCTTCATTCTCCTCGGAACTACAGACTGTTAAAGGGGGAAGAGTAATAACAGGCTCGAAATATGGATCAGGTTCTTCGTGCTAAGCAATTTAACGAAAGGAATTATTCGTACTTCTGAAACGCTATGCATTATCGCCACTAGTAATTGCAAGGGCCAGCTAGTAGTTTGTTTGCGTCTGAGTAGATGAGGTACAGCGACAGTGGACTAAACACAACGGGATTCTAAAAGGAAAAACATGTAGCGTTAAGTCATGAGCCAAACAATGTTATCATATTTACTAGTGACAACAACTAACAGGAATTACCGATGCGTGTGTAAACTAAAAATCAACCTGCACTGGGTAAGGATATCAAAGCAGCACAACGACTAACCAATGACCACTCAAGGTTGTTGTTGTTGCTCATTCAATATCCAATAAGCCGTTGAAATATATCGACCTCATTTTGTTTCAAGTAATAGCCTTAAATATTTACCAGAGGCTGTTGTGGTAAGGTGAAACATTCGACTGACATAGTTCTGATACATCTATGGTTTGTCAGTTGAATAAGTTATTTTCAGGGGATATATGGTGAATGAAAGTGAGACCATTCAGAATATGTCTGGTTGTATGGCATGAATGTCGTTTGCTGGTTGAAATTTGGAATAATTCCGATGTTAAGAGTGAAAAGAACACGTAAATTTTGCCTTTTCATCCCCTTTAGGGTAAATAGTTCACTGTACTAAATGAAATTACAAGCATCGAACACTGGTAATCATGTTAGTTTGGCTAGGCGGACCTGTAGTGACTGGCCTTATGATAAGCCCACAGAGGTTATTCTAGCCTCTGAACAAACCAATTTGTCCATTCTTTATCCATTCACCTTGTCACTCATTCAACTATTAATCCTGACTGTTTTTATATGATCATGTACGTGTGTTGCTTATCCTATTCACCACATGTCCGTAGTTTATTTTTGTCTGACTACAACTATAGATTCATGCTTCATTAAATCGAGTTGGCCTACTCGCCTCTTCAACTGCACGTCTTTTCGTTTCTCTTCGCTCTCTTCTCTTCACTTCCTTCGCTCAGTCTCTCTGGTTGTCTGTTTCAATCAACAATTGTGCAAAATATACGTTTTCGAAATACATTCTCGTATTTGACTTATTTTAATTCCATTATTCGCTAACTAGAGTTAGGTCGATAATTATATACGAGGGTTGGCGACATATATATTTCGATAGCACTGAAGATACGATCTACCTGAAATCAGATCTCGGGTTGTAGGGCTAGTGAAATATCACTGAACCCTATCCAAATCATCCGGCAGTTGGGTCACTAAATATCGAACAGATCATCGATGTCCGTCAAGGTCAAAGACAGTCAACGCGCATCAGTTCATCATACGCCATGAACTGACCCATACAGCAGTGGTTCTACTCTCGCTTGTATCTACTTTAACTAATATATTCATGTAATAACGTCCTTTGTGTTGTACAGTCTTCAGAGTATCCATGGTCCCTTGATACATCGATGGGACAATCGATGTAAGGTGCTGGTCGTGAGGTGTGATATCGAAGTTAGCTTGCCCGTTACACCGTTTCCATATAACTCGAGTAGACCTCCAATCATTCGACATAGATCATCAACGTTGATAGTCTTCAGGGTCATTAAAATTGGTTAGCTCTACCACGAATGTAACGTAGGAAAAAAAGATCACTAGCTGAAGGCGCTTAGTGCAGGATACATAGCAGATCAGGTTTCAACCTTCTCCTGAGGGTATCCACCATATTAAACAGGCAGATAAGTAGTTACGCGTTTTGATACTACCACTTACAACTCAAATATATGTCCCCTCAGTAATTATCCGTTCTTCTCTTTTTGTCCAGACAACAATTCGATAGAAGAGATTTCCTTGACAGTTTCGTTAGGAGCTATCATTTTCAAATTCTTTTTGGAATATTCCTCCCTATAACCACTATAAACATGTTCGAATAAAACAGTTGCATGAACCATGACTGAGATCACGTTTCCCGTCGGAGGTTCGGATGCAAGAAAACCAAATCCGAAGAACTGATACAAGAACATCAGTGCACACTTTTAAAGAGGGAAGTGCATCTGTCGACTGGAAGTGTACGTGAACAGGCTGCACCTGCTGACTAGCTTCCGGAGATCACCGGAACCCCTAGGATCCAGGTTTGTTCTGTTAAAGAAAAGCCTCAAATGACGTAAATGACACTGCGGATCATTGTGATACACCCAGGCGCTATTCGAATATTCATCACGAACCCTGAAGTTCTGAAACTCCCCAAAGAAATCTATCGTGAAAAACACATATTCTTAGACCATGAGAAGCAGACAACACTTTTGGGCGTCGGCATTTCAACAAGTATGGCAAATCTTTGAGAAATTTCAGGAAACCCTAAAGTATCACCAATCCCAGAGAGAATTTGATCATGCGTAGAGCTTTTGTTTGGAGTACGACAGCTGATTTCGCAGACGAAGTGGTAAAACCAGAATTATTAGGTGTTAGATTTGCTAACTCTACGTGTATGTATTCAATATTACTTCGGTGAATTTCTGACGTTTTTCAAGATATTTAATTACGTTAATTACTGCAATTCAATGGCATTTAAATGCCATTAAATATCTGAATGCTTGATTCCTTGCACACGTGAGAGTTTATTTCTGGTAACTTAATCTCAAACCACCAAGATCTCAAATTTTTTGAGTCTCTAGGTCATATGTTCTTTGATGCATACCAAACAAAGCGTTCATTCAAACCCTAGTCCTTTAATTCAAACAATAGATTGATCTATGGTGGTCATTATCTTTTTTATCCATGGCACTAAATTTGGACTACCCTGACAGTAAAACCCCGAAATTTTAGCTTCTCAGGACACCAGAGAAGTATCACCATGGTACCATTTATGATTTCATTTTTTTAAAAGCACTGGTGCAAATTGGAATCACAGGAATCAAAAATGTCTGTTGTGGGATAGCTGTCTAGATAAAAGTAGACTAGAAATGAAAGTATCACACTCCCAGCTTGATTCGATCTGCAGGTTTCGAAGGAAATAACCCTTCAATATGTAACATAAATGAAGTGAGATTCATATATTCCTATTGTATTACTCAACAACATGCGAAAACAGTACCAACAAACAGAAACGTTAGCTGTCTGTATGAGGTTGATTCGGAGTATTTAGCAAGTAGTACGTGCTCTCCGTCACAATCGGTTCTGATTCTTTCCGATCCCGGTCTGCCACGTAGAGTTCCGGTCAAGAAGCTCTCTTCGTCTAGACCAGGTCAGTGGCCACATACTTGTGTTGCGTCATAGCCTTATGATAGCTTTTCCCTAACATACTACACTAATTTCTTGGTAAAAAAATGTCCATGCCATCCAATCCAGTGGCTGGTCTTTTAATATTGTCAGCTGGCGTTTCCTCTCTCTCCCTGGAACTTCACTTGTTGTATAAATAACTAGATAGTTCAGATGGATAGAAATGTGATCATTTAAGACACACTACCTGATGAGGTTTCGTTCAAAACTTGCAACGTGATGTATTTAGAGAAATTCTTCAATCTCATTTTGAGTATTGGGAGACGGTATCAGTGGTATTTCGTATAGTTTCACCATAATAGCGATAGATTCCAGAACCACTGTGATTTTTGCAAAGACAAATGAGTCGACTCTTTCTCCTTCACGCTTTTCATTCTGAATATGTCTAGATAAACGAGTGCTTGAAATAAGTTCATCCTACGCAACCCGTATTTGGCCTCTTATTACCGCCGCCACAAACGGGGTTAGCTCAAGTAATATATGGAGTTAGGTTGAATATTTATGTTTATAGCATGCCCAGATCGGAGGTGAATCACCGAAAGGTTATGTAGAAAGATATTCCATAAGATTGTGCCTATTGGCTTTGTTTTGTAGCTCATCTGAAGGCTTAGATTTCCTGCGCCAGGCCACACTGTTAAGGTCGTCGATACTATCTGGTTAACCGAAGTAGTTGTTCCAGGCTTCGAAACCGGTGCCTACTGGTAAAAATTCAAGCTTCATAACCACGAAGCTACCGTTCCACTTATTGGCCTGGTCTTAGACGCAGTTTGGTCGTACATTTATCGGCCATTTAGGATTTATCCACCACGTTATTCCAATGCTCTTCGAAGAAATTTGCCTCATCCAAACCATGTGTTTATTTGCTCCACATGTCACCACTTTTTAAACATATTTGATACTGGTATAAAACTTGTAAACAAGGAAATAAGTAGGTGATTGAATTCTATATTAAGGCAATAGATATGAAAGGTAGACGATATAGTCTAGGTTGGACTTATCTTCCAAAACTTGTGGTATTGTAGTGTCATCGACCTTCAGCAATCGTCAGTTTATGTAATGTGACAAATTAAACCGTTGCACACTACTGACTGAATGGTCAGCTTACAGTATGACTTTAGTTCTTGACTGCATGCCTGGGATTATCTAGAGAAGTAGACACCTCTGAACATCACAGATGATGTAGACTGACAGTTATTCGAGTTATTTGTGCCCATGAAACCTTTGTCAACCGACCGATTATATCTGCGGTGACCTATTCAAGATCTCGGATCAATCCATTCTGTAATTTCGATGTGCCAGGTCCTGTGCCCGTATGTATTTCATTTATCACTTCAGAATTACTCATTACGAAATACCTATTTGTTTCGTATGCTTTAATCTCAGCGATGATTCGCGCACTTCTTTCTTACACCGTTTTTCGAAACTGAGCTTATGTTTATGCGAAACAACTACCAATATTATCTGTTTTATGTCATATGTTTCCGTTTGTGAGTTATAGACATCATAATCTACTACAGTTTTGGTGTCTGTTCCATCATTGCGCCGATGAAAATATTGAAATAGGCGTAAAAATTCGAAGAGTTAATAAAAAATGTCACAAGACGTGGAAGAAAATGTGAAAGATAATGTCATATCAAGGAATGGACTTCGGGTTTTAGTTCGATGTACTAAATCCCGTCAACCTATCATCCCGAAATACTACAGTATTCGGATTTTGTTGATGCATTTGTCCTCAACACGTTTATATTCAAATGATCCCGAACCCAGTCGAACCGGAAATTCGGAATGAAAGCATCCGAGGATTTATTTGGAAGATTTTCTGTTTTTAGAAGTATTTGATCTGCGCCGGTTAGTAGCCGTGCGAGATGCGTAGCGTGGTGTACACAATATCGATCTCCTTAACCAAATGTCCAGTTAGGGTGTGTCAAGTATTCAGAATGTAGCCGGCATTTATTTTGAAGAACTATAAAAGTAGTTGTTACGGGGATTTGTTTACCGTTCAAATATATAAGATGTATGAACTAAGAATTATGCATTAAAATCGTCGAGTTCTCAGGGGGATAGTGTGTATTTCAACTATCACGCTCATGTACTGGTCAAC